GGCAGGTGAAGGGTAGAGAAAGAAAAAGATCTCTTTATATATATTTTTTAACACTTTGCATCTACCGTTTTACCAAAGACTAAATTTAGTCTTCAGGTGGACATTTGGGTTTTTGAAGTGATTACATTCTTTGTGGTTGAGAATATGAAACTTCTGAAGAACAAAGCCATTCACTAGCAATTTATTAGGTCCCTACTCTGGAATTACCAGACACTAATTACTTATAGCTCAGAGCCCTTCCTCAAGGAACTATAAAGGGATGTCAGAAGGCTTCTAGCTGTGGCAAGCAGAGACAGGTGCCACTCACGTCTGGCTGAGGAAGGGAAATCAGACGTCAGGGAGAGTTCCCAGAGGAACCTAGAATGAGGGGAGTTTGGAATATAATTTACTTTCTTGGACAAGGAGGGAAACAATATTATTTAGTAATACAGAGAGAAGAGCACATTCAAAGCAGAGAGATTGGCAGACTCGGGAAATGAGGGGTGGTTTGACCAGGTAGAAGCACAGATTTATTTTATCTCGTTTTTTTTTTTTTTCCCAAAGCATAATTGTCCTTTCTTCCAAGCAGATTTGTCTATTCCAGGCTACCATTCTAGAGTCCCAGTCTTGGGCTTTAATACTACAGCAGTGTCTCACTGCAAAGACGTAGCCGTGTTTCCTTCAGAAGAAATGATCTTTCTTAAAGAAAAGAGGAAGTACAATTAGTGGAACATTTTGCTAAAGAAAGTTAATAAAATATTTTTAATGGTCCAGTTTGGCTTACCTTTTTTATGGAAAATTTTCCACTCTTACTCCTGGAGGACCCCTTCCCTGGACATCTCCCCATTCCCTTCCAAATGCGCCGTTCTTGTTGATGGTACTAGTTGCAACATTCAGTAGGTTGGTGACAGTAGCTTAATCCTGATCTTTTGATGATGTATCGCTAAAAATACCAATTTATTATTATGTTTTGAAGTGGCTAAAGTTTTTTTACTTCATAGCATTACATCTGTCCTATAGCTAATCCTGAATTTTCATCAGGATATATTCTTTATGTAAGAATCATTGCTTTCACACATGCTCCTTACATGGTTGTTTTTTAAATTTTGCAGACGATACCAGAAATTGCAGAAGATTATGAAGCCTTGGTAAGAATTTGTGATCAATTAATATTGATGATTTGATACTTTCTTCTTCTCTGCATAATTAAATCCTGTCCTCTGCCTGATTGTATAACTATGCATCTAGATATTTTGACTAAGTGAATATTTTTTGTTTTCTGCATGATATTCATATATAAATGGGTTCTTTAAAAATTCATTTTCCTTTTCTTTTTGCTTTTCAGTGGAAAGGGTATTTTATGTTTGTAACCATCAAATGATCACATCAGGATTGCTATCCTGCTTCTGCAGTAATGCTAACCATAATTTTATGTATTACTTTAAACAAAACTTTCTTTTTTACGGCCTATGTAATGTTCAAAGTCAAACGTCTTTGATTTTCTTCAATGGCTCAGAAAGAAAAAGATCCACATTTAAAAAAATATTCAGGATTGACGTATAGAATGAAAATTACTTACCTCAAGTCTGGGAAAATGTTGGATCACCTATCTATCAAGTGAATTGCAGGATAATTGTGTCTGGAGATCTCAGAACTTCTTTCTTAGAGTTTTCCCTTGGAAGTGCCTTTCTTATCCACTGAATAGGTGAGTCTAAATTCTATCTAACAAACTGTTTGAAGTAGGCTGAACATATCTCCACGGTGCCAAGCTGTTAAGCAGATAATTTCAGTTTGAGGAAGAAGACTGACCAGCATCTCAAAACAGGAGCCCTGTTTTTTAAGCCTTTGGAGAAAACCCTCTTCCCCTTCAATGTACTGTAGTATGATACTGGTCTCAAATCATTCATCTTTCTCTAGTCTTCACGAATAGAAAAAGTATTGGTTGCAGGAACAGCCAAAACCAGTCCTAATAAAGTAGAAAGCAATGTTGAGTTTCTAGGCTAAAGCTTCTTAAATTTTATTTTGATATATTTAATGCACTTCATGGGTACTAGCATCTCAGCATTTACACTCATTATTTCTAATCCATACTTACATCCACCAAACAAGATCAGTATTTCCTTGGTTTACAACAGTGGTTCTCAACCTTCGTAATGCCGTGACCCTTTAATGCCTTTCCTCATATTGTAGTGACCCCCAACCATAGGAAGGTTGAGAACCACTGGTTTAAAAGTTGAAATGAGACGGAAGAGATACAATTCAATCCTGTTTCATCCAACAGAGAAAAAAATATGTTCTCTTTGCTAACATAGAGGAATTTTGGGCTCCATATTCAAAATAATTCCTCAAAAATTTGGCTATCGGTAGTTTTAATTTTTTGGTATATAAGGGTGCTGGCCAGTTTAACTATGGTTAATGATTTCCTTTTGTTAATCATAAATAAAAATCAATGGCCAGGGTCTTTGTTATGGTAACGGCAGAGTACCATAATCAAACTAACAAGCACAGATAACAATTATAAAGACTGCACAAAATAAACTCTTCCAAGGGACTGAATAGCAACACAAAGAAGGCAGAAAGTAGAAGGAATCAACCCTTAAATGAACAGATGGGAATTGGATGAGATATGTGTGTGTTTGTTGCTCTTTGCCTGAGAACACCTGCTCATCCAGGTAGGATAAGGTGGCAGAAAGCTTCAGACTTTAGTAAGATACTAAGAGGACATAGTTTAGGGCTGGCCTAACAGCTAGCTAATTAGGGAGAATTCATGGAAGAGGGGAAGCTCAGAGGATGTGAGACCCCACAACTACATGTAAATTCTGACCAAATCCTTTGCTCATCACTGAAGTGTGGATACACTTGGGTATGTGAAAACCCCAGGGGACCTGGCCAAAACAGCAACTAGAAATGAAAGAATTGAACGGAGGGCTGTCACTCACTGAACAGTTTGGAGTTTAATTTCCTGCCAGAACAAAAATCAGCACTCTTCAGGGGAAGAAACCTGAATGCTGAGCCTTGGCAACATTTTATTCACAATGTCTAGTATGCAATAAAAAAATTACTAGGTGTACATGTATGAGGAAATAGAAAAGGGAAAGCCACTGATAAGGGGGGAAAAGCAGGTAGTGCAAACTGACCATGAGATGCCCAAATGTTGGTTTTAACAAATGAAGGTTTTAAAACAAATTTTATAAATAGCTGGGTGCAGTGGCTCACACCTGTAATTCTAGCACTCTGGGAGGCTGAGGTGGGAGGATTGCTTGAACATAGGAGTTTGAGACCAGCCTAAGCCAGAGCAAGACCCTGTCTCTACCAAAAATAGATAAAAAAAAAAAAAAAAAAAAAAAAAACCTAGCCCAGGGTTGTGGTGGGCACTTGTATTCCCATCTACTTGGGAAGCTGAGGCAAGAGGACCACTCGAGCCCAAGAGATTGAGGTGTCTATGAGCCTTGATGCCACCCCACTCTACCCAGGGCAGTGGAATGAGGCCCTTTCTCATAAAACAAAACAAACAACAACAAAAAACCCGCACATTTTTAAAAATCAATATGTTAAAAGACTAAAGAAAAGGATCAGTGTAGTGAATGCACAGATCTTGAGTCTTAACTGATAAATAAGAACTACAAAGAGTAACAATACAAATTATTAAACTGAAAAATATAATAAAGGAAAATTTAAAAGGAAAATTTATTCTGTGTGGGTTGAAGATGCCAAAAGAAGAGACAGTAAACTTAGATGGATCAGCTTACTGTAAGTTAGACTTTAGCTTTACAAATGCAAACTATGTAACTTAATGATATGTACCCTCAGATGAATCTGAAGAAAAGGTATGTTGACAATTAAAAAATAAAAAGATAGGTCAGCATATTTTACCCAATCTAAAACATAGATAAAATGAGTAATGATCACATGGCCTATGAGATAACAACAAGCAGAACAATGCATCAAATGCATTTAATCAAAGTCCCGAGAGGAAAGAGAAAAGAATGAGGCAAAAAATATTTGAGGAAATAATGATAGAAAATATTGGTAGAAAAATATGAAGGAAATTCTTTTTTTTGCTGGGGCTGGGTTTGAACCTACCACCTACAGCATATGGGGCCTGCACCCTACTCCTTTGAGTCACAGATGCCACCCATGAAGGAAATTCTTTAGATTCACACCATCTTCTAACTGGATAGAAACTGGGATCTATGGGATGTGCCTGAGTGAGAGTGAGACCCTAACTCCTAAAAAAATGGAAAAACCCAGCTGGGTGCTGTGGCAAGTGCCTGGAATCCCAATGGCTTCCGGAGGCTGAGGCAGTGGGATGCCCGCAGCCCAAGTCTGAGGTTGCAGGGAGCTGTGAGACCATCACACTCTTCTCAGAGACATAGAGTGGGACTGTGGGTCAACAACAGCAAAAAAAGAAACTGGGATCTATAAAAGGTATGAAAAATACTAGAAATTGTAAATGTGTGGGTAGCTACAAAAGACAAAATATGGTTTTCTTTCCTTCAAACTTCTCAAATTAAAAAAAGAAGTATCAAGCTAAAATTATAATGCCATTTGGTATGGTTTGTAACATATGTAGCTATAATGTGTATGATAGGAAGAATACAAAGAACGGGAGTGTGAAAGAAATGGCACTACAGCAAGATTCCTCTTGTAAAATCTTCCCTTTCAGTACACATTAATATGTCAATAGTGCACACTGTAATCCATAGAGTCACAACTAAAAAGTTAATGCAAAGGAGCAAAATTCAAAGGAGGAATTAAATTGGACTACTAAGATATACTTGACTAACCCAAAAGATGGTAACAAAAGAGAATAGATCACAAAACATACTGGAATACATAGAAAATAAATAACAAATTGGCTGACTTACATTTATTTAAATCACTACATTAAACGTAAATGGATTAAGCACCCCTATTAAAAGGCTTAGATTGTAGATCAAATTTACAATGTGTGACTCAGCTCAGCTCTATACAGTTTAGAAGATATGTACCATAAATATAAGGGCAGATGTAGTTTGAAAGTAAAAGAATGGAGAAACATACTTACTGCAAATGTTACTAATGATGAACCTGAGTAGTTTTATATTAATAATAATTAATAAGACTTGAAGACAATATATTATCAGAGATAAAGAGCAATAATGAAAACAGAAGACATAAATGTCTTTTTAAAATTTTTTTTAGAAGACATAAATGTTAAAGGCATGCATGTAATAATAAGACTTCAAAACACGTAAAATATGAACTGACAATTAAAAAGAAAAGTAGATAAACTCATCATCATTATTGGAGATTTTAACACCATTCTCATCTAACGGATAGGAATACTAGGTAAAACCAGTAAGAATATAGAAGTTGATATCAACACTATCAGTAGTCTTTTCTTAATTGTAATTTTTAGAGCATCACACCCCCAAATAGTAGAATAGATATTTTTTTCAAGTACAGGTAAAATATTCATCAAGGTAGACCTTATGGTGGGCCATAGTTAATCTCAGGAATTTTGAAATGATGAAATTATAGAGATTATGTTCTTTGAGAACAGGAAATCCAATTAAAGATCAATAACTGCAAAGTAGCTGAAAGCCTCATATGTTTAGACATTAGAAAACACACTTTCCTATTACCCAGGAATTGAGGAATAACCCAGTTGAAATTACCAAATACTTTTAACTGAATGGTAATGAAAACATACCAAAATCTGTGGATCAGCTAAAGCAGTGCTTAGAGTGAAATTAATACCCCTAAATTCCTATTTTGGAAAAGAATAACAAAGATTATTGTCTAAGTTTTTACTTAAGAAGCTAGGGGAACAAATGAATAAAGTAGAAGATAATAAAAGAATTTAAGAAGAGAATAAAAAGAGCAGCAATTGATGACACAGAAAAGAAATAAATAATAGAAAAACTAAAGCAAAAAATTGATTATTTGAAAATACTTATTAGGAATGAAAGAAGAAATAAATTTAAATATTAACACCAGTAGTGAAAGAGGGGATATCACTATAGGTTTATATGAAAAGGAAAATAAAGGAATATTGTGAATTATTTCATGACAGTAAGTGTAAAGTTTTAGATGAAATTGACAATGGCCTTAGAAAACAGAAATTACCCAAATGTATTGGCTGTGGAAACATATGGCTTTGATC